TTCAACACCAATGAGCACATGGGGGTAAAAACTATGCCCACGAGCACCTCCATCATGCTGTCCACTATGGCCAAAGAGACCACGATGAGACTTGGTCGGGCTATGTTGTTGTGGAGCCCGCATGCTCGCTGTAGGAAGATGTTCATTGAACATCCTCTCCATGGCATGCAACAGCGAGTTTTCAAATTAACGTAACTCAGCTCGTGATATCGGTGGTTCTTCTTTTCCATGTCGACCACCACGAACACTCAAATTGGATCCTGCCATGTTAGACTAGTTGCAAGAAAAAGTGAAATAGGTAAATTTGTGGAAACACACAATCTCACCTCTTACTTACCCAAGTTCTTGCTCGTTCTCAAGGACCGTGACGGTGCTGGTGTGGCAGCTTCAACGGAGGTGGTAGAGAGGTCGTAAGGATTACGAATCGAACATTCCGGTTCAGGTTTTGGTGGAGCTATAGGTGGCTAACAAGGAGGGCTACGGTACTGCCAACCGAGTGGTTTGATGTGCTCAAAGACACGACGTTGCTGCTAACAAAATTACCACCAACTCAAATATGTAAACTGAAATTTTCAGCAATACACCGCAACACAGATCCTTCAACTTCTTTTCACTTCTCCTTTTTTTGAAACTAATCTCTTTCTTTTTTTATAACACTGACAACGGTAACGAACGAAACAACTCAATTTATATAAACGGTGGTGACTAGCAACTCGATGAACACAAAACACAACGTAACAGTACCGCGAAATGGTTCTAGGTATTTTTTGTGTGGCTTTGGACTATAGGATATGGCGAAACAAATATATGTGATGGATAAAAGTAGTAGTAGATGGTAACAAAAAGATAGATAAGTAGGTAATAACAAAACCTATCGTGACAACGATAGCTCTGATTACCACATGATAAGGGTCGGAGATCACCAACAGCAAGATATCGATGGAAACCTCCTCGGAGTGGCCCGATCTTTACGACAGTAGGTTGGAATTCACAAGATAACTTGCTGCGAACAGCAGAGGATAACTAGCTTTATACCTGCCAAGGTTGGATGCGACCAAGCGACGGGGAGAGAGGCATCGAAACCACGAAGGCTTCGACTCGATCTCCGAACGACCGCAGAGCCACAACCGGAGCTAATCCACACAAGGCAAGGTAGCCGTGCTGGAACCCGCAAAGCACGAACTAGTGGATCCCAGAGGAATCTCTTCACAAGTCCAGGAAGAACAAGGAAGAACAAGGGTTTGAGTAAGCACTCGGCAGCTCGGCTGCAATATTACTGGAATTATCAAATCATCAAAAAGTCCTTTTCTAGTAGCCTAGAGGTAATATTTATACTATGAGAAGTCTCTAAGATAGATGTGAACTGAAGAAGCCATGTTGGGAGGTGGAAGGCCAACGCACGAGGTGCTCTTCAGTTTCCACGTGTCTTCTGGGCTTCTGGGCAGTCTTTAATGTTTTGGTCATAACTCCTTCCTGGAAAGTCCAAATGACGAACCGTTGGATGCCTTGGAAAGCTAACTTCATTATCTTTCTAACCATGTATGCTATGCACCACGAATTATTGTAGAATGGTACAGTTTTTGCACGAGATCTTTAGCTTCATGCAGACTATTGAGCTTCGTAGCAGTCTTCACTAAAACTGGTCGGACGCCACGCTGGACACTCCAAACTGGTTGGCATGACAGCATTGGAAACTAGGCTTCAAGATCTCTCCAACAAGTACTCATTCACCTTCATAGCCTTTGGAAGACAAAAGATATGACCGTTTCTTCTGGATGGTTCTATCATGCTGGGTTGACTCGAACGTAGCTCTTCTCTCTGATCCATCCTTGATGTATCCTTGTCTTCCTTCTCGGAGAACCTAAGTAATAACAACATGCATGACTTAGGTAGCTCGAAATTACCATCAATGTTTAATTGAAACTCACAAAGTAGTGCATGCACCTCTTGCTGTATCTTTTGGGCGCGGCTACGGGTGATTGGTCCAATAAGGACTTGGAGTGGTGTATCAGTTGGTGAGGCGGTCGAAGAGGTTGCCGAGGTCGGTGAAGTGGTCGGAGAGGTCGTCGAGGTGGTCGAAGAGATCGCCGAGGTGGTCGGAGAGGTCACCGAGGTCGGTGAAGTGGTCGGAGAGATCGCCAAGGTGGTCGGAGAGATCGCCGAGGTGGTCGGAGAGGTCGCCGAGGTCCTCGGCGCTGACGTGGTCACATCAGCGGTGGAGGGAGAAATGGAGAAAGAGAGAGACGGGGAGTGGCAGGTGGGCTCGGCTCATCCTCACCTTGGCGGGACGCGGTCGGCAAGATCATGGAGACCCATGCGCAGGCGCTAGCAGACAGGTGTGCACGCTTTCGACAGGCGTGGCCCATACGGTCGCAGTGTCTTAAATGACAAGGCGACGGCGAGCTCGGCCACGTGCGCGTGGCAGCGGCGGTCTAGAACTAGGCCTGCTGCGACGCAGAGGATAGGTGCGGACGCGACGATGATGCGACGGCAGCAGTAGCGTCGCGACGCGAGACGGGTCGACAGTGCGGCGAGGCAGCAGTGGGCGGACGCGACGGCGAGGTGATAGCGCCGACAGTGACTTCGTCGTGGCGCGGGGCGGGCGGCAGCAGCCCTGCGCGGCGGGGCCAGCGGCAGCCGGCCACAGCCAGGCCAGAGGCAGCCACGGCCGACCACGCGCGACCAGTGCGGCGACGTCGAGCGCCCGAGTGTGGTGACCGCGCCCACGTGGCCAACCAGTCCGAGACCTGAGTCGTGCACGAATTTTAAAGCGTCCATAAAAACTAAACGGTTGCTTCTGAACCTAAACCATCTTTACCATACACAAGAGAGCATATGAGACTACCAAATCGAGCTATAACACCGCACCTCCCTTTAACTCAATCTCTCAAAATAATTTACTAAACATAGCAATGTCTAGCTGTTGACAGACTTGAAAATTTTCTAAGTTTTGAGCTGAACTTGATTTCAATTTATAATTTCTAAGCTAGTACAAATATTAGCTAGTAATATATTTTTTCGACAGTAAGTATTTTACCGTCATCTACAAAGTTTGTACTTCAAACTTTATTTAAGTATCACACACATGTTCTATAGCATTTTTTTCACTAAAAATTAGTTTTAAACCCTACTTATATACATAAACTATTGAATCATCTTTCGTTTAACATTTTTATTGATCATTTTAAGTTACAAGAAATTTATCTACACACTCTATCACATGCATTAACACATAAACATAATGTTCAAGACATGTTTTAGTAAATGATTTAGGGTGTAACACCGAGGGTGTTACAATATGTTGCAGTGGCTATACACATGTTGCAAGCATGTTCCAAATGTTTCTCCTATTTCAGACGTATGTTGCATCAAGTGCTTTATGTTGCAAGTGTTTTTATTAGCAGGCGTAGCAGCGGGCGCAAGCAGAATCGGTCCTCGTGGGTGCAAGCGGTCCCCGCATGCACGCGGGAAACGAAGCGGGCACGGGCGGTCCCCACGTGCATGCGCAACAACAGGCAAGAACCGGCGGGCAGGCGCAATAGACGGGGTAGGCGTGGGCATTCGAACAGGGCTAGCGTGCGGAGGTCTGAGCCCTGGCCACGCCATAACATCAAGTAAATCTTATATTTAGTTAACCTCTGCTCTATGTGCCACTTCAGTCAAACATAACAGATCCGAATAAAATATTCACCGTCGGTCTCCCATTATTATATAAGGGGAATTCCCTATATACCATTAAAAAAGATCGTAATACCCTGTGTGTTTCTGAAAAAGTTCAGCGGTCTTCAGCGCCACTACTCCAACTTTGTCATGTCCTCCATGCCACTTCCGTCAGTTTGGGCTCTAACGTCGTCAAACTGCAGGTGTGAAAAGACGAAAATACCCTTAAGTCTAAATATGTTATTAATTTTTTTTTAGAATCTTAACGACTTTAAATGAAAAAACTCAAAACTAGAAAGTTGTAGATCTCGTCGAGATCTATAATTTTCATATAAAAATTATTTTTATTTAATTCCGCAAAAAAAATTGATATGATTAATATATCCTAGAAAAATCATATTATTTTTTTATGAAATAAATGAAAATAATTTTTATATGAAAATTATAGATCTCGACGAGATCTATAACTTTCTAGTTTTGAGTTTTTTTATTTGAAATCGTTAAGATGCTCAAAAAAATTAATAACATATTTAGACTTAAGGGTATTTTCGTCTTTTCACACCTGCAGTTTGACGGTGTTAAAGCCCAAACTGATGGAAGTGGCATGGAGGACACGAAAAAGTTGGAGTAGTGGCGCTGAAGACCGCTGAAATTTTTCAGCGGCACACAGGGCATTACGATCTTTTTTAATGGCACACAGGGAATTGTCTCTATTATATACCACATGTGAAAAGAAAATGGTTGAAAACAGGAGGCGGCCCGCGTCACTGCAAGCATATATGGCACCAACCAAACAGATCAAAAGAAAGACAAATTTTTGTATGCATGGCCGCCATTGTTGCTTGCATGAAACGAAAAAGATCTCCTAACCCCAACTCCAACCCCAACTCACCAGCAGAGCCCACTCACTCACTCATGGCACCAGAGAGGCAGAGACCTCACCCAACCACACAAGCAGGCTCATGATCAAGACTTGGATTCACGGCCAGCTTTTGAGTTTGCTTTACTCAAGGAACATGCATGAGCAAAACACAGCACAGGAGCAACTAACCAGCTGCCAACACTGACGACCAAGCAGCACAATCACAACGTAGCAGAGCACAGGGGCAAAATGGTCATTACAGGGGAAACGTGCACAGGTAGCGCAGCAGCATCGATGTATCGGCAAGCAAAGCGCCGCTAAATAAATTCCTTCCCTCTCTTCTGCTCTTGGCATCTCGTCGTCCTCTCTAGCTATCTTCTTGCTTTCTATATATAGCTTCATTCACAAGGCTGTACGTCAAGGGTGTGTGGTAGCTCTTGGACGACAGGAGAGATCGAGCAGCAGGCAGTGCAGCACAATGGCGGCCATGGGCATGAAGAAGGGTCTGCTGGTGCTGACTCTTGGGCTCGCCATGGCCGCTACCTCGTCGGCCGTCATCTACAAGGTCGGCGACACCTCCGGGTGGACGATCCTCGGCAACGTCAACTACACCGACTGGACTTCCAAGAAGAACTTCCATGTTGGAGACACCATAGGCAAGTTCTGTCTTCGCCTTCCCCAAAGTCATCCATCTGTGCTAGCTATTACCACATTGTCATGCAGAGTTTTCTTCGTTCGAGTACCATTTCTAGTTAATTCTTGCAATGTGTAGCTTCTGGGGTAGATTAGATCCATTGCTAGCCACTGCACTATACATTTCCTTTTTGTCAGTCTTGCTACACAGTTTATTGCATAGCGTGTCTCTCTCTCTACTCATTTGCATGAAGCAGATTACTGAAATGCTTCATGCATGTTTGCTGAAACCTGCTTCGCTAGCATTGCTCAAGAGAAAACACACATAATAGATTCAGTGATACGTTGAGCAAGCACCGTCTCCCTCCTTTCCTCACTGGTGCAAAGGCGAGCGCCAGTCACTTGTCACCGTCACTACTTTTACAACATGTCCTGCTAGCTCCTTCCGGCCCGTTTGTCTTTGCGTTTACGTGAAGAGTCTTGCTTTAAGCCTTTAGCCTGACAATGGCAACGGAATTCTGCTTTTATGTTTCTTAATTACTGCACTGCACACTGCTAGCTTTACGTAGTCATATTGAAAAGCATCACGGAAACCTTCGTGCCGGTGTGCTGTGCACAGTAATATGGTCCATAAATTTACTGACGATGGACCACTAGACGTCTGAATCACAAAGCCAATCAGGGATCCAAGAAATGGATACATGCTGGCCTGGTTGAGGTGCAGTGAAGAATTACTGCACCAGATCATACGAGGCCCGGCCTGTGCCAGCTACAGATGTTCATTGCCTGCTAGATCTGTCGGAGCACTACCTGAACTTTTACCATGGACTGGGAAATGGTTTCTGACAACACTTTGCTGTCTTGTGCTCCGCCGTGTATGATTATCTACCATGTCCCTGCATTTCAGTCTTAATAATCTGAAACTGTCTTTTCAGTAGTTGCAAAATCAGGCTGTTTATACTCTATCTACGAACGTAATCGAGGACCATATATTATGGTTATCATGAAGATGCTAGAAAAAGGATAGTAATATCATTGCCAAACTATCATCTAGACGCAACCACCATGCGTGCATCTATCAGTAATTCAGTATACATACTACTATCATTCTGTCAGCACAGCAGTTGTAAAGCGAAGAACTTTGACAAAATTTCAATCATGAGTAGCATAATACAAGCATGTTTTTTTTGGGATCGGTGTCAGACAAAGCGTTGGTCTCTTTACAGGGTAGATGTACTGTACCGTAGGCTGCACGTTTTCCTCATTCCAGCCGCTTCTTTTGTTTCTGTTCTTTGCGTGGTCATTCTGGCATCGAAAGATCATATAGAGCACGTCTGATGTGATGATGAGCTGACATGGAGTCGCATGCATGGCCGCGCGCGTGCAGAGTTCACGTACCCCCCGGGCATCCACAACGTGCTGGAGGTGAAGAAGGCCGACTACGACAGCTGCACCAACTCGACGCCGATCGCCACGCACACCTCCGGCGACGACAAGATCGTCATCAAGAGCCCCGGCCACCGCTTCTTCATCTGCGGCGTGCCCGGCCACTGCGCCGCGGGCCAGAAGCTCAACATCCGCGTCCTCAAGACACGCTCCTCTGACGCCCCTTCCCCGGCGCCCGCCACCGCGCGCTCAGGCTCGGCGGCGTCCCCCAGCCCCAGCACCGAGCCGAGCGGCGCCTCGGCGCCGCCGCCCGCGTCGTCCACGGACAGCACGCCCGACGCGACGGCCACCACCGCGCCCGCGCCCAATGCCAACGGCGCGGGGGTCAGTGCAGGCCACCGGGCCGTCGTCGCTGCCATGGCGCTGGCGGCGGTCGCCTCCATGGCGATGCTGCACTAGATCACCACTCCCTACTCTATATAGTGATGACGGTAGAGGTTTTCCTTTCTTGGTTGTGTGTATGTGTGTCTGCGTTCTTCTTAGCTGCTGATGTGGATTATGTTGTTGACATGTTTTTGCTTTTCTCAGGTTTCTTATCTTCAATGTTTTTCGTATTTCTCCTGTTTTACTTACAATATCCCGCGGACATAAATTCATATTTGCATTGAATCTGACTACTTGTGTTTAAACTGCCACACTTACAACAAGTCTTAACTCTTATGTACACCTCTTCCAACTAGTTTTGCCATACAACAAGTATGCACCAACGAAAACCAATAGAATTACAATGACATAACATAACCTTGATGATAAATCCATTAATGCTATTCTCAATTCTCATTTGACAAATCCTGGCAGTACATTGGTCCGAGCAAAGTCGTGTTGCCAAGAAATGGTGCGATTATTAATACAACTCGCAAAGTGCATTTTATTCAGATAGTTCATAGTACAGCATACAAGCTACAAGGTATTGCAGGAAGATAACCCAGAACACAGTGCAAGAGCCATAAGACAAACCAGTAATCACACCTCAGTACAGAACAAGTTGGCCATGATTCATAGCTCTTATAAGTACAACCCCATACTTATGTTGCAGCTCAAAGATTGCCGTCGTTCGCTATTCCAGTTTCCTTGAGAGGCTTGCGGCCCAGGACGAAGAAGGTCGCTGTGAAGATTCCTTCCCTGAGATCATGCAGGGTTGTTAGTTTCATCAAATTTGGATTAATTTGGTTTCTTCACCCATGCAGATACCATAAGAAGAATTTCTTATAATTGGCTGTCGGTAAAAGATAAAAGTTGGGTAGCCTTTCTCTAAAAAAAATTGGTGAAATCATGACTTACCGGCCACCCTTTAGAAGGCCATCAGAGGCACTGATCAGGAGGTTGTAGGTTCCCATGCTGCCTGCTGGGGCGATACGGAGGAACTCCAGTGTATTGACCTGAGAAAAAAAGAATTAACTCACAGAGTAGAACGTCTCGACTCCAAAAATGATAGATCACATAACTAAATAGAAAATCATCTTAATGGACAATCTTTTATTTATAGTCTTACAATTGCACGGGTGATGATCCGTCCTAGGCGTGTGCATTGGAAGCTAGTCCATGAAAAATTGTTGGGATCTATCATCTGGTACCACGGGCAAGGAAAATCTTGAGCAAGATCCTTTGCACAAATGACCTTTTAATAATACAGAAGAACAAAATCATTCCAGTTCCCATGAATATAATATTTGTGGGTAACAAGATCTATCATTGGTTAATAATATACGAGTGTGGCACCTCAAATCCTGCATCTTTCATAGCTTGGACACACTGGCGAGTGGTACGGATATCAGGCAGCCCATCGCCGAGCTCAATCTCAGCCTTGATGGCCAGATGCTTAGCGTTGTTTGGATCAAATCAGTCGGTCAAGCACCATTCATCAAGTGCAAAATACTGCCCAGGTTTCAGCACACGGTAGATCTCACTGTACACGCCTTGCTGTGATAACCAGGGATGAAAAACTTAAAGAACACTGAATCTGCGGTATACCTGTGAAACCTTAACTCTTTTTTTGAGAATTACACAGTACAAACTTGGATAGAAGTATGACGCGAGACATACTGCATCTGGTGCGTGACATGTAGCCTGTATTGCATAGGCCGCATCAAAGGTGTTATCAGCTATTGGCATGTTCATGAAGTCCCCCTGCAATTACCAAGAGAAGATAAGACATTGCTGTTTCTTCCCCACTAACCGGAACTAACGGATATAATGAAGAAAACTATGAACACCAATATACCTTCAAGAAGGAACATTGCTCACTCAAACCTGCTGAAAAAATGAGCTCCTGCAACCAAAAATTAAGTGTTGCATATCCATATGCTAAAGTTTTTTAATTCCAAAAAGGAAAATGATAAAATAAAAACCTTGCCCCTTGAGATCTGGTAGTCGTTGTAGTTCAATCCAGTTATCAGTGCTGAGCTACAGTAAATGGAATTAAAAGTTCGTATGTATGCTCTTCATGATTGTCACGTTGGAATTTATTGATTGAATGGGTAATGAAGTTTTAGTGCAGATCATTGCCTGAATCTGGCAATTTCTATTAAGGGTCCCCCAATTCCACATCCCACATCCAGGACCTGCAATAAACATTTTAGTTTGTCATGGATGGTATGTAAAAACTAAGCAAAAAAAGTTAAGGGTTGATAACCTGCAATAAACGTTTTAGTTTGTCATGGATGGTATGCTAAAGACTAAGCAAAAAAGTTAAGGGTTGATACACTGTTTGTAGACTCATTATTAACTACATGTGTTTTGGATGAATTGAGGCAGTATATTGGTGGTATCAGAGGGAGAAGCAAATGTGCTATAGAGTTTACTTGCAACGTACACATATATGTTAATTTTTAACAGTACTGCTTAATATCCTCTATTGTTTTTTAAATGAAAATACCCTCTATAGTTAATTAGCAAAAGAATTATGCTTCTCCACTGACCTTCATGCCCTTCTTGAGCCCCAATTGTAGTGCCATAAAATGCTGATGCCACTTAATGCCTTCACGGATAGTCTCACCCGGATATCTGAAATACAAACATGGGACTGACGCAGTGAAATTACCAAAACTGTGATCTAGAGCAACTCGGCATCTCAACTGAGATACAACGGATGTTGTTATTGTCGATAGATAGTAATAACTAGAGCAAGGTATGTATATGTAGCTGACCTGCCAGCAAAATGGAATGAGTCGCCCCATCCATATTCGTAGAATCCAGTGACAAGATCGTAGTACTTATTCACCTGATTCACACAGTAGGAATTATGCATATGCGATTTTAGATATGACAGTTATTTGACAAATGAACTAATAAGCCTATCGCCTTATCCTAAACATCTGATATTATAAAACGGAGGGAGCAACAATTAAGTGTTGAATGGATACCGAAGCGTACCAAATCAGTGTAATTTGATTTCCTTGATTCTTGTTCACCTCCGTGTAGGTCGTGGTACTTCAAGTACCTGATGAGAACGAGAAATTAACACTTGATCATAAAATGTAAATAAACCGTATGTTACAATCATGGCTCTCACGAAAAAAATGAGGGCAGTTGGTGGGTTGAGGTTCCGAGGATAGCGTAGGGCAAAGGTGCTACTGCCCCCGCCCCCTAAAAATGGTGTAGAGTATTGAGTAACAGTGCAGATTAGGCTAAAACGTTGCCAATGCCTAGACGCCGCTAGCTTCGGCCGAGAGCGCACCTCCGGTGATGTTCAGCTGGCTCCGGCAATTCGTCGAACAGCTTGCGCTCGGCTGCGGAAAGAAATAGGAGTAGAACTATCACGCCGTGTCCATCGCCGGCTCGATTATGCCGACGGAGGGAGATGTGGACTAGCGAAGCCTGAGGGGGAAGAGGCGACCTTGGGGGCCCGCGACGGCAGGCCGGCCCAGGCGCCATTTGGTGAAACCAAGAAGGTGCACGTGTAAAGGAGGCAGGAACAATGCGCCAGAATTTTACCTTGGGTGGGCTTTTGGGCATGAATTTTCCTTCCTGCTTGGTCTCCCAGCCCGTCTTCGTGGAGTTCCGTATTGAGGCGCTGTAGCTTTGGGACCCTTCCCAAAACCAAAAAAACTTCTACGAGCTAAAAGGTCAAAAGCTCATTTTGAGTTTTTTTTATTTCCTGAAGCTTTTTGACTTTCGTAAGGTCTCAAAGCTGAGATCTAAAAGCTTACATGAAGCTGGAAAAACAGGGCCAAGCTCCTACTCCCTCTACCCTACAATAGCACAAAATAAGTCCACATCTATCTATGGACTATCTAACTTTAGTAGCCCTTTTTTAGCCTTCTCTATTCCCAAGGTACAACTATTACTACCTCCCTCGTAAAAAGAATGCAACTATGGGTTGCGTGTCATGAAAAGTGGTTCATGTTTGATCAAATTTTTAGTGAATGATATTCACAGTTATATCTTTAAATTAATTTATTATAAAAATATATTTCGTAATTAATCTGATGATATTTATTTGATATCATAAACATAGATACTTTTTTACCTATAATTGAGGTACTAAAACGTGACACTATGCTAGAATTGTATTCTTTTAGGAATGGAGGTAGTACTTGTTAGAACAATTTTAGTAGGGGTATTTAGGTAATTTCTCTAGTATCCTTGATCTCTCCAATAAAATATAGAAGTGCACTTATTTTGGGACATATGAAGTATGTGTTAAAATAGTGTAGATAAGTTTTATCATATGAAACTTATTTTATTATATGAAACTTTTATTATCTCTCTTCATCTATACTATATCATGTTAACTTATCTATTGTTTATAAAACTTTCACGAAATTTCTATTGATATTGGTCTAAGGGCAGCTCCAGTGTCGGAACGTAGAGATGGAACTGTATGTTGCGCATGATTCAGGTGTAGCACGAGTGCGTGAAGCATGATAGTCAGTTGTTGGGGGCTACACCGAATAGAAAAAAAAGTACCGAGTAAGTGGCTACCCATTAGGCTTCGTTCGGTTCAGCCAGCCGAGCACGACCTGTTCCGCCTGGATCGTTACGGTCTGGTTTGAAGTCGGATTAGACTAAAAATGTGTTTTTCTGTTAGATGTGTCATGGAATGAAAAAGGCTGGAACAGTGGTTTGTTCTTTCTTCCAAGGTCTGGAATGAAAACTTGTCCCCTACCCTCCGAAAACAAACCGTACGTGGAGTGACACACTAAAACCAAACCAATGTAGGTCTATTTGGCATACTTCACAATAGCTTCACGAGCTGTTTTGAGCTATTTTTTTTTGTCAAACACTCATTTTTAAAATGGTTTAATGAGTAAAGTTGTTTTTCTCTTCCCTCATAAAAACATAAGTTGAGATAAAATTAAAAAAATACCTTATCCTACCTCTCTTCCTCATTTCTCTCTCTCTAATCCATGCATGAAGCTGTTGGTGGAACTATTTTATCAAATAGCTTTTTCAAAATAACTCAACTTCACCTAGAAAGTTATCTATAAAATTATTTTTTAAAAACAGCTTTATTGTTGAAACTGAGTTGTCAAACGGGGCCTATATCCGCGGCTAGCACGGTTCCGGGACAGCAACAGAACCAAACCAAACGAACGAGCGAGGGTTCTGACTTCCTGTTACTCGCTACAACTAGAGGCTCCTTATGTCCCGACGTGATTCGGTTTTAAAGCACACCAGAGATGCTCTAAGAGTTCTTTGTACCAGCTTTTTAATATATATATATATATATATATATATATATATATATATATATATATATATATATATATATATACAAGCGAACAGGACAATTATTACTTTATGATCTTGTCCTGCCACAAGAATTAGGCACGGTAATAGCTATAATTAAATATGAATAAACTATATCCATTCATCATTCCAAAAACAAGAAAACTGACTCGTAACTTTCATAAAACGCTAAAAAATGAGGCCGTTGATGATAAATCAATACTATCCAGGCGAAGAATCTCTCCTCCGTAGTCCGTTTTCAGAAAAGAAAAAAAAAAGCCAAAGCCCAACGAAAGATAGCTTTCTGAGTCTTTTTATTCTTTTACAATGGACTAGCAAATATACTTGGTTCTTCCGGAGTAGCCTTTTTCTCAGAGCTCCTTCCAACTGTTCAGTTGATTTATTTCTTCTTGGCCAGGTGAAGGATATAAGATGGCTGATAGCAACGTATTATTTATAGAGTGCGAGCTAGACACGGAGAGAGATTTATGAAATCCAACTGTCTCGTCGTCTTCTAATTGATTGTAGTCAATTCATATTAATCATAGTCTTTTTTTTTCTTTCGAAACATCACTGTTGTTGTTATTATCCGCACAAAATTAGACGATCAAAAGAGACGCCGCGCCGGCATCGTCCTGTATGCACTTGATGATGGTGCAGAGGCGTAGAATTTTAGCTTTGCTAAAACAGTGAGAGAACAGAGAAGGTGAGTAGAATAAAGTTGCTAATGACACTATTTAGAAGATTGACCCCTTGATCAACAGAGATCCGTATTTTTAAGAGCCGCCTTTTCAAATAATCAATAAGGTCTCAAACAAGCACCTATGTTAATCATTTACAAAGGCGGATATCTTAAATAGACTACCTCAATCAACTATTTACAAATTATGATCGTCTTAGCGCTCCTGTCTCTGCTAATCGATTAATATGTGTACGTTTGAAAATAGATATTAACAAAGATGGCAGTCTAAGGGTACCCTCTTGAGAAATAGATTACAAGAGGCAATATTATATTCATAAACCCGGGGTCCCTCGGGGATCGGCTTTCACGCCAAGGCCGGCCCAAGGAAACAACATGTAGTTTATGGGCCGGCCCAAGAGTCTAAAACACAACGGGCCGGCAGGATAGTCCGGTCGCCGACCGGAAGGTCTATCCAAAGGACCAAACGCCCGCTCATCAATTTCTTCGGCCCACCTCTCCGACTGGAGCACTTGCTTCGGACACCAGCCGCCTCCGGGCGGTCTCTCCGATCGGAAGGCTCGCCCAAAACGCTACTTCCTACTCCTACTCCCCGCGCCTCCGACCGGAGACCCCAGAGGAAAGCTTTAAACTTACGCTTTTCTCCGACCGGCGCGGCCGGCCAGGGCCGATCGGGCCATCCGACCGGGGGCCCGCTTCGGAAGGGACCAGGCGAACGGAGAAGGCAGCGCACAAGTCAAACCACGATACCAGGACCATACCTTGTACGCCTGCGGGAACAGTGCTCCACAACCGCCCTGACACAAACAGTATTGTAGGCGCCGACATTTGTGTCTACAGTATTGTAGACGCCGTTGGACTCCCGTACGGCGAAAAACCCCAACATGCCTCTGGACATTGATAGTACTGTGGGCGCCAGGATTCACCATACCTGGTACACGTGGTAGGGCTCCTCACATACCAACGGTATTTTGCAGGTACCGACATCTACCCTTCCTGAAGAAGAAAACGCAACCTCCCATGTGCACCTGACATTCTACAGTGACATCAACAGTGTTGTGGGCGCCTACCATTATCCAATCCTCATCGCGCGTGGGCAACAAGGCTTAAAAGCATCCGTACCGCCTCCCTCTTACCTGTAAAGCCATCCCTTCATTTATAAAAGGGGATGCACTCCCTCCAACAAGAGGGGGCCCAATTGATTTAAGCTCAGTTCCCTTAGATTCATTAGTCCAATAGCTCACAATCACAGAACCACCAGGTTCGGACCTCAGGCACACGTTTGAACACCTCTAACACCCCCCTTCTCATTCATATTCGTTTGTAACCCCACTACAGACTTCGAGCACCTGGGCTCAGGAATAAAGTCACCGACCGACCCACACTGGACGTAGGGCACGTTGCCTGAACCAGTATAAATCATGTGTCATTGAGTGCTAGGCCACCTCCGATCACAACGTACAGCACTATATAAAAAAATAATCCATAACTTTTTTTATACGATTTCGGATGGAGACAACCCTTATATCAAAATTTTATAGGTCAACTTAATCTACAATTTTATAGTTGATTTTATATTTCAAACTGTACAGTCTTTTTAACAAAAAAAAACTCATAATTTAGAGTTTGGTTTTAGAATTTTTGAATGACCTCGGATGTATGGAGTCCCATAACTTCTTGGTCGATGAGGGTACATGTACTCATCAATACTAACTCACACTGTTAGTACAGTGGTAGCTAGAAACGTGTCACACCAGACTAGAGATCATGGATTCTGGTTTTCTGAGACTATTTACATCGTTAACACCCGACGACCTCAGTCACACTGACAGCTGCCGCTACAGTCAATTGATTAGGGTCTTCTTAAAAGATGATTGGCCATTTTTGTTTGGCAAAAACTATGAGAGTCAAAATCTGGTGATTAGGACTCTAGAAGCAATGTTATGATCTTCATACGTGATAAGGAATCACTCCTTTGATGCATACGACACTCCTCGAGTGGCTACGCATGGGTCAATTACTACAATCCGTGCACGACAACTAAATCCCTGATCGAGATTATTCTTAACTGTTTTTTTTTTTTGAGATTGCTATCTAGTGATGTTATAATTCTTAAAAAATTGAGGGGATCAAGAAATACTTGGAGTGAGATATGGAAGCAGAGACCAGGTCATCTCAGTGGCGGAGCCAGGATTTAAAACTTGAGTATTCCTACTTCCATATCATAAAGAAAACCCAAATCCATAGGCTTAAAATAACAAATCGTTCAGCTAGCCAACTATAGGATTTTGAGCTAAATTGAGTAAAAATGATGCCGACACACACACAGGTGTCTCAAATAGACAAATAGTTAGGTATTTCTAGGAATATAAGGGAATACCCTTAAATCCGCCCATGGGTCATCTGCCACGTTTTTGCTGCTCCAGCTCTTTAATAGAAAAACGGTTTGACTCGCAAGGAGCTGGTTGTTTAGATAGCTGTTTGATGTAGCTCCGTAACATAA